TAATTAGAATAATTATTGTGTTCTAACAGAATACTTAATTATTATCTTTATAAAAAATTATATTATTAAATAAAAAATAAATTACTTTGTTATTAAACTTAAATTAAATTATAGTAACAAAAGTGAATTTAAAAAGTTACAAAACAAGAACTTTTAAATAGTTAATTTGATACTAATATCGATATATGTTTTACAAAGTGTTATGATATCTTCAAATTTATAGCTTATTAAAAAATAAAAACATTATTATTTTCTTAAAATTATATTATAACATCGACAAGGTCAAAATAAAACAAAATATTAAAATAAAAATATATTTCGTTATATTATGCGAGTGATTTAAGTATGTAATTGTATCTCTTTCTGAAAAGAGTATTTAATTGTATGTATATGATATGAATGTAAAAGGTTTAGGGAGCATGCAGTTGGTTGGATTAGATTGAATTAAATGAAGGGTTTTCTCTAGTTTTACGTGCCCATTTAACTGCTTTTTATCTCATTTCATTTACACCTCTACCTCTAATTCAGACCTATGCCGACTTTATATGTCTCTCTTACCTTTTCCTTTATACATAAATTTCATGAAAATTTTGAATATTTTTTGTTTGAAATATATAATATTTATATACAGCAAATAGAACAAATAAACTCACACAATCATTTTTAGTGAGATTTGAACCCCTGAATTTTTAGGAGACCAAAAACTCACGTCCCGTTAAGCCGAAGCCCCTTCGGTGACCATGTTGAATCTTGATGACAATCATTGTAATGGGATGGAATAGAATGAATAGGAATGGCAACGGGCCGGGTTCGGACCAGGTATTGATATCCCCGTCTCCGAAACGATAGCTAAAACCGTCCCCGTAACCGATCACAAACAATATATTAGATTACAATATAGAACTAAACAGAAATTTAAGCACCATACAACTAAAATCACGATTTTAGAAAAATAAACTAGATTTTTTCGTGAGCTTTATTTGGGTTGTTTATGTAAATTGAATAAAAGTCTTTTAAATTTTAATGATATTATATATATATATACACACACACACACATATATATAATATATATATATATACATATCGGGCCGAGCCGGGAGGTTGATCACCGTCCCCGCCCCCGTTAAAATCCTTGATCCCCTCCCCGTCCCCGATAATATGTCTCCGAACCCAACCCGAAAGTTTTGGTTTTCACCATCGGTTTCGAGGTTTTTTTGCCATCCCTAAATGAAATGGAATAAAAATGAGAGCATGATAGGTTTTTCTTTAAAAGATTAGATGAATGAACTGAAATTCCTTATTGGTATCCAAAAAGTTACATTCCTTCGTATGTAGAGTTTTAATTCTTTACCAGTAGGGGTGTTCACGGCTAGGGATGGTGATTTGATCCGACCCGGTAGGGAACCCGGTACCCCTGACCCGGACAGGGATGGGGAATCCCCGGGAAAACGGGTACCGGGGCCGAGGATCCCCGGTAGAGGCAAACCGGGGTTGGGGCCGGGGCCGGGTATTGTATCCCCCGACCCGCCCCGTACCCGGTATATTAATAAATGATAAAATTAGTCATGTGGGCTTTGGTTATACACAATGTTACTTAGTCTGTTAGTCATTTGGGTTTGGGCTTTTTAGACTGGACCACTTGTATTCTTGTAAGCGAAGCTAGTAAGCGACATTACAAAACATTACACGATAGACATACGCCAAACGAACGCCATCCGCCATCGCCCATTCGCCCTTCCTTCAATCCTTCCTGTTCCCAGCGACGGCCGGTAGAGTGAGCAGCACTGCAGCAGTCGACTGTCGACCTCGACCCTCGGCTTGACCCTTGTAAGCGACATCGGTTGTTACTTGTTGCCGACTCGTCAATCGACCTTAGACCCCACTCCAGATTCCAGTCGGCTGCAGCTCGTTCTTCATCAATCGGGTGAGCCGTAAGCAGCAGTCTTCACAATCGCGTGAGCAGCAGAGAGCAGACTAGCGTGATGCTCGTAATCGTTCTTCAATCTTTATCAATTCGGTTCTTCATCAATCAGGTCAGTAGGTTTTTTGTTTTAGATTTAGGGTGTTGACCGGGGGTTGACCGGGGATTGACCGAAAGTTGTCCGGGGCCGAAAAGAAAATCCCCGTACCCGCCGGGTACCGGGGCCGGGGCCGGGGATTGCAAACCCCGCCCCATCCCCGCCCTGTTGCCATCCCTACTCACGGCCTGGGTTGATCGGTTTGGACCGTTTTAACAACTCAATCCAATGTTGGCAGTTTGAAAATTTTCAACCCAACCCAACCCAACCCGTTCGGGTTGATCGGGTTGTGTTTAAACAATGTAAAATCACATAAAAATAAAGGAAAMTTTYCTTTGAAATACGACCGACCATTCAAGATAATATGCAAGTTCATCAAATATTTAGATATTACAATAAAAATGTTTAAACCAAATGATAATACATCAATTAACAA